GGAGGTTGAGGCAGTTGGGACGGCGAGGGTGCGGCAGAGGCCATCAGGTCCGGGACGCTCGAGGTCTGTCTCTTCAGGATGTGACCAAGTGGGCGTTTCCGTGGGTGTTGTCTTGAGCAGGAGCGTCCTGTCGGTGTCGCCGTCGTTTCCCTGAGACTCGAAGTTAAGGACGAAGATGCCGTCTTCGTTAACCGCCTTCCCGATGTGAGTCTTTTTATAAAAGAGTTCAAAGCATTTTTCTTCGCAGTCGCTTTGGATCTCAACTCCGCATTTCATGAGCTGTGCTGCAGAGAGAAGATTGAACTGAAGGTCGGCGACGACTAGTACATCGCCGATGTGGATCGTGAATTTGGTGTCGCTGGACTGCAGGCATATCTCTCCAATATCATAAGCCTTTAGTCGGTTGTTGTTCGCGACGGAGATTTCGCATGGTCGTTGCATTCGCTTCGAGTTATTAATGAATGTCGTTGATCCCACCATGTGTTGTCCGCAGCAACTGTCAAGATACCACTTGTTGAAGTTGTCACAGCTGCGACGCGCGATGCTGGCGATCTTTGGAGTGACGATGCGGTCGAGGTTGACGTAGAAGCCCGAGAGGTCGTTCTCGTGGGTTGCGGAAACCCCGGGAGGAGACTCAGGCGTGATTGGAGGCAACTCGTAATCAGGTGGGAGATTCGTTGGTATGTTGCTCCAGAGTCCGATCGTGGGATCATTGTTCGGGCTTGGCGCGATGGGTTTGATCGGTGCGATTGTTGGAAATCGAACTCTGTCGTAATAGCGAATGCCTCTGCGACACGCCATGCAGCTTAAAATTGTCCCCTTTCCCTTGTCCTTGGCAGAGGTGCGTGCAGGAGCTTGCGAGGTACTTGCGACGGCAGGTGGCGACATGGTCGTTGTTGCGGCTGGTGTTGAAGGAGGCACTGACGGTTGATGCTGTTGACCGGGTGAGTTGTTGTTGCGCCTTTCGTTAGCAGCCTTTCGCTTGAAGCATCGATCCATAGTATGACCCGGTTTCTTGCAGTACTTGCATAAATATCCCTTCTTCTCGTGTGACTCCCCTTCAGTTGTACCAGCGTAGAATACTAACTTTTCTCTTTTGCCGTTTCTCTCATTGTACAGGTCGATCTCCTACTGCCCAGAGAGGAGTGTGGCGCAGAGGGCGGCTTCGAAGACGGCTCCTCGAGCGCGAAGCAACGATTTGCACTGTCGCCATCCTGGTCCTAGTCCGGAGAGGACTATGGTGACGAACATGTCGTCAGCGACGTTTCCGCCGCATTTCTTAAACTGGTCGCGCAGATTTCGGGAGCGATTAATATACGGTCCCGCTTTCTCCCCTGGAGCCATTTTGGTGGATGTCAGTTGGCTTAACAAGCGACTCATGTTTACTGGATCTGTCACCATGTATGCGTTGCGCAGGTATTCCCAAGACACTTGCGCGGGAGCCCAATTTGTCTTGAAGGAGCGGATGCCGAGCTGCTCGGAGGGGGAGAGATTGTGGAGAAGAACGGTATACGCGAGGAGAGACTCGTGGTAGTACCGGTTCTTCTCCTGGGGAGTGCCTACCGTCGGAAAGGTGAGACCCCCATCGTAATACACCCAGATCTGCGCGGTTGTCGCAAGGAGTTCAAACTCAAAACTCCACGTGTAGAAATATTTACCGTCGAATGCAGTTGAAGTCTTCAGCTTCGATGACATGACAAACTTGGTTTGCATAGTCGCTATTGCTTCTGTTTGTGCACGTTGTTGATTGTCGTGTGCAGGAGCTGAAGATTGACGGTTGTCAAATGTGAAGGACCTCTCGGAGTTGACGCGACGGTCTTCTCCTGGGAGAGGAAGTCCAGCAACTCCTCTGGCGTAGCTTGAGCCGTCGATGCTCATTGCTTGATGGCTCTCAAGAGCGTTGATGCGTGCGACGAGCTGCTCAACGATGGCGGCGCTGACGGATGTCACCGCTGACTGCGCATTAGTTGTTGCTGTTGGTGGGCCCGGAGAGTCTGCACTAGCTTTCCCTTTAGGAGCCATAGTGATGCAGACTTTGTAACAGGTGTTGTAATGAATAAATAAATAAAGAGTTGTTCTAGGAAGAACAAGAACTTGGCAGGCCTTATAATCCAACCGTGCTCTCATACCATGTTGATATAGCCAAGAATCGTAGTGGATGGGATAAAGCTAGCCAAGTTTGTGAGGAAGACAGTGAAGTCTTGTAATGACCCTGTTAATAATAATTGAAAGAGAATAAGATGATTAGGATAGTATTACAAGGGAAATAAATAGCATTCCTAGCTAGCCATGTACTTCGAGGGGTACATTCCCTTATTAACTGTTTTGCATTGCTACGGTAACTGCGACTATTGCAATACTTGACAGTTACCATGTTGCAGCGTGTAACCTCCGATTACCGTTGCGGGTTGGTCAACAGTCGCGACAATTGACTTCCCAGCGATTGTTGACCTTCGCGTGGCTATTGATCTTTGCGTGCTCTATACGAGCTAACGCGGTACCAGTACAGATGCGCTGCTACGTTATGAAGTGGTGCGCTAAGGAGATCCTTCGGGAATGCTGTAATAACCCTTGGTTATTCCAACAGAGGCAAGCTCGGCATCTCCTGGCGCACAGCCTCAAGCAGCTGCTCGAGGCTCCCGAAGAACCACGGTCGAGGAAATACACCCCTCCTACAGTCCTGAGGTAGTCCGCAAACATCGCCTCCTCGCCCGCTACCCCCAACTGAGTAATGTCGCGCGCAACTGTGCCCACCCACAAGCGTAGGATAGCGGGCTCAAGGAAACCGCCGCCCGGATCCGGAAGCCACCTGGGCGAACAGGGAGGTGTAGTTGAAGGTGGGCCATCCTAGACCGCCAGGGTCGTGCTTCAGGTGCCGGACGGGAAGATATGCTCGAAACAGACCTCCAGACTGCTGCCCCACTCGCTAAATGCCTCCACAACCTCTGGCCGCGGCGGCACAGTCCGAGCGAGATACATCGGCCGTGCTGAAACAGCGATAGCCAGGAGGTGTGACGCCATATCGGGGTGGTCAAGTAGTGGGAGCCACGGCAAGGGCGCCTGCAGCTGTCGAAGCCGCTTCTGCAGACGAGCCACCTCCCAATCCTCCTCTCCAATGGGGCCCCCCACCACTGTGAGTCCCTCCTCCGCCCGCTGCATGCCCAAAGGCAACTCCTTGAGGCCCCACACGCCGAGAACTGGCACTTGTGAGCCTGTACCTCCAACCCCACCCATTGCAGCCGCTCCGTAACACGCCAAACGCCTCCAGAACCCTAGATGCCGGCCCCAAAAGCAGGTCTGCAAACTCCCTAATGACCGGCTCCAGGACCAGCTGCTGCGTGAATGGAAAGAGGAAGGGGTCGAGCGGGTCCCCCTGACGGGACTCTCGTGCGGAGGCGATTTATCAGGTCATGGTGCGCGTGGTGCGCGCGGCTTCTGCGGCGATTTATCAGGTCATGGTGTATCATTGCAGGTATTGATGCCGTTACCCTTTCAAAATAGTTACCGTGGCCCAGAAGTTTCGGTTCTGTTTTGCGTAAAACTACTCCAAACCAAGCCAGTTTTCGAAATGCTCTCTTGGGTTAGGGCCTGCCCAATAAGGTGTTCGTTTCTGCATGTAGTGTTGCTTTCAGGAAGGGATCACATGCAATAAACGTGCCAGAATGATCAAGAGAACTTATAGGAAGTGCTTACAAGTTTCTGTTCTCTATTGATTTAGATCCTTTCTGGTCCAAAAGCTAATGCTGGAGCACAGGACAGGAGACTTCCTACCTAAGCTAGCAGAGTCATATCATAACCCTCTATCCCATTCTAATGCATCTTCCCGTGCAGTTGCGATCCCATTCGCAGCCATCCTCCTTACCCCACCTCCTGAGCCGAAACCACACCGCCCAAGCCACATGCACACAATGCACAGCCATACAGCCATGGCACACCAGACTGCTTACTCCACCTCAGCACCACCACCACTAACCGTCACTGGAGTGTGAAGCCATATTTTCCTCCAAACTCACACACACACCTTTCTCTAAACTCCACATCCACCCACTTTCACTGCCATACCCTCAGCACCTCACCTTAGCTCAGACTCACCTCTGTTAGCATTTCAATAGCTCTCTACCCTCATCACCCCATCAATCATCGCACCTGCCTATACAATGGACCAATAGATACCTCACCATATCATCCCTTTGCCTCTTTCCCCTTTAGCTGAACGTATACCTTTTCAGGTGTTATGCAAATGCAGCTCCACTCACATCCCCACACAGTCACAAGAGCACATGGATGCACACAGAAACACACAAACACACACACACACACACACACACACACACACACACATGCGCGTGCGCACACACACACACACACACACACACGTACACACACACACGCACACACACACACACGCACACACACACACACACGCACACACACACACACACGCACACACACATACGCACACACATATACGCACGCACGCACAGAAAAGCACATCCATGTGAGACAACCACACTGCTGCACCCACACATGCATGCACTGATCAACCCTCCCACCCCATCACCCCTCCCATCACCCCCCCATCACCCACCCATCACCTAAACCATGGCAGCATGGTGGCCACAAAGCCCAAGAGCTCCCTCCCAGCGCCCACTCCAAGTCAAGCCGCACCAGCATGGGAAAACCACCATTTCCACCGGTTCCACCATTTCCACGGTTTCCGGGCCGCCTGAAAAAGGTTGTAACAGCAGCCTGGCATCCATCCATCCACAAAGCCTACAAGCCTAGTCCACGTCCTGCTTGCTTCCCCCAGAGCATGCCCTGCCCAGAGCCTGACATAGCCTAAATCCGCCTCAAGAAAGCCATCACGTTTTGAGGCATCGACAAAGCTGACAAGCGTGTCAACATCCCGCTTCCCCCGGTGCATCCCCAGCGCCTGCTTCCCCCGGTGCATCACGGGCGTGGGGAGAAGCCGCTCCTACTAAGGCGCCTCAAAAAGGCCATCACGGCAGCGTAGCATCAACAAATCCCACGAGCGTGTTAACGTCTCGCTTCCCCCGGTGCATGCCTAGCGCCCTCGCCGCGTCAAACAGCACGAGCGTGGGGAAGCCCGGGATCTGGAACTCCTCGGAAAGGCCGTCACGGCAGCGTAGCATCAACGAATCCCACGAGCGTGTCAACGTCCCGCCTCCCCCAGTGCATGTCCAGCGCCCTCTCCCCGTCAAACAGCACGAGTGTGGGGAAGAGCCGCTCCTCCTGACACGCGGCCTCACAAAACCCGTCATGGGAGTGTAGCGTCCACAAACCTCATGAGCGTGTCAACGTCCCTCTTCCCCCGGTGCATCCCCAGCGGCTTCTCCCCGTCAAACAGCACGAGCATGGGAAAGCCCGGGATCTGGAACTCCTCGGAAAGGCCGTCACGGCAGCGTAGCATCAACGAATCCCACGATCGTGTCAACGTCCCTCTTTCCCCGGTGCATCCCCAGCGCCCTCTCCCCATCAAACAGCACGAGCGTGGGAAAGCCAGGGATCTGGAACTCCTCGGCCAATTGTGGGTAGCGGTAGGCGTCCACTCGTGCCACCTGTACGTTGAAGTCAAGGTCCTTGAGCCTGGCCGCCAGGTCCGCCCATGCCTGCTCCATGCGCTTGCAGTGCGGACACCACGGCGCATAGAACATGAGGAATGTCGGCCTGAAAGGGAGGAGGCAGGAAGGTGGAAAAGGGCGAAGGGGCAAAGAAGGGGTAAGGGGAGGCTGGTTCAGTTCAGGCTGCCCCATGCTTGCTCCATGCGCTTGCAGTGCGGACACCACAGCGCATAGAACATCAGGAACGTTGGCCTGGGGGGAGGGGAGGGAGGGGGGGGAGGGAGGAAGGGGAGGAGGGGAGGGGGAAAGGAAGTGGAGGTAGGTGTTAAAGCTCCATCTTCTCTCATGCCCTGAGGAATTAGGCAGCAGCAATGTCTAATTTCAATGCCCATGCAACTAATCTGCAGCTGCATGCAGGCTGTACTCCTTCCCTTGTTTCATCCATCTCCTGATGTTTGAGTTGACTAAAAAAACCCCAATTTCATCCCTCCTAATGTTTGGGTCGGAAAAAAAAAAAAAAAAAAAAAACAAAAAACAAAAAAACAAAAAAAAAACACCCGCTGCTTTTCGCATTTCTTATGCACACCCTTCCCTGCCCCCATCCCCCTCGTCTCAAGTACCTGCGTTGAAGGGCTGCATGCAGGTTGCCAGGGTTGAGCTCCAGCACTCCTGGTCGCCAGGAATGCTTGTGAGGGGTGTGGCTACATGCAGGTTGCAGATTTTTTGGTCCACTGAGTGTTAAAGAGCTAAAGTGAGTGAGGCTTAGAGCCATGGCTAGAGTAACTTAGGAGCTTAGGTTTTAGGGTTGAAGGAGAATGTCGAGAGAGTTGCCAAAGGAGAAAGGTGATTCACTAATGAGCAAGATACAAGATATAGTGTAAGGGACAAGGGAATGAGGTGCACCACCAATGTAACACTACACTACTGCTACAAGTAGTTTATATAAGAAATATATTTCAACACACCCCCTAAACTGCTTGCAGCAGGAAGCTAATGCAGAGACACCCCCTGAAGGGGTACACCAAGTGCAGTAGAAGGAGAGGGCAAGTGAGGAGGAGGAGGAAACTGGAGAGGAGAGGAGGTGGGCGGCCGCTGAAGCTGCTGGCACTGGTCGCAAACGGCGTAACTGGCTTTGCTCGCCGGCAAGAGCAACTGACCCTCTGGGGACCGGAGCAACGGGTAACCGGAGTAACTGGCTCGCTCGCCGGCAAGAGCAACTGACCCACGGGCCTCTGACGCAACGGTCTCATGGGCGACTAGAGCTGCGGACTTCACGACGGCCACCCGCCCTCACCCCCCTCGGATTGTCCCACCCCCCCCGTGTCACACCCGTCTGCCCTAGCGCCACTCCCAAGTCTCCACCACACCCTCCCCCCCCTTCAGCTGCAGCTGCAGCAGTGGGAGAGAGAGGAGGAGGAGCGGCAGCTCAACACGCACGCCCGCCACCCCCATACCCCCCCCCACGGCTGCAGGCGCAGCAGGGAGATGGAGTCGAGGGGGCGGGGTAGGAGCTGCTCCGCGGCTGCCTGCCACCCACCCATACCCTCCCCCCCACGGCTGCACGCGTAGCAGGGAGATGAAGGAGAAGTGGGGGGGGGGCGGGGGAGCAGGGTAGGAGCTGCCCCGCGACTGCAGTGGCAGGCGCGCGGGCTGCAGGGTCCCCGGGGGCGCCGCGACAGGCGACTGGGGGGGCGCCGCGACGGACGACGGGGGCGGCGCGCTGGTCCCCGGGGGCGCCGCGACGAACGACGGGGGCGGCGCGCTGGTCCCCGGGGGCGCCGCGACGGAGCGTGAAACCGCCGCGCGCGCCGGGGGCGCGCGGCGGGCAGGAAAGCGCCACGCGCCCCGAGCGCGTGGCGGGCAGAAAACCGCCACGCGCCTCGAGCGCGTGGCGGGAAGAAAAAACGCCGCGCGCCACGGGGCGCGCGATAGACAGTACAGCAGCGGAAGCAGGTGGGCCCACAGGCCAGGAGCATAGGAGCTCTGATAGCATGTTAAAGAGCTAAAGTGAGTGAGGCTTAGGAGCCATGGCTAGAGTAACTTAGGAGCTTAGGTTTTAGGGTTGAAGGAGAATGTCGAGAGAGTTGCCAAAGGAGAAAGGTGATTCACTAATGAGCAAGATACAATATATAGTGTAAGGGACAAGGGAATGAGGTGTACCACCAATGTAACACTACACTAACTACTGCTACAAGCAGTTTATATAAGAAATATATTTCAACACTGAGAAATCCCAGTTCCATGATTCTTTCACAAGTACCTACCTGTGTCGGAGGGCTGCATGCAGGTTGCCAGGGTTGAGCTCCAGCACTCCTGGTCTCGCCTCACGCCTGGAGAGCCATGGGCGGCAAGAGCATATTTGCACATGCACGCACATGCACGCCATGCAAGCACATGGCGCACACATGCAAGGGGATAAATGGAGATAGGTGATGCAAGGGATATGCAAACGAGAGGCAGGGAGTACCAAGGAGAAGCAAGGAGAAGGGCATTTCTTTCTGCATGCAAGAGGCACATGAAGGGAACTAGGAAGAAGAGCAACAGCCATAACAAAAAGCTTTCACACCACAAGCAACATGGGCCAGGGTCATGCCCCATGTGCATGCCCCATGTGCATGCCCCATGTGCATGCCCCATGTGCATGCCCCATGTGCTTGCCCCATGCCGTGCCCATGCCCATGCCCATGCCCATGCCATTGCCCATGCCCCATGCCCTATGTTCATGCTCAAACCGCATGCCCCGCGCCCTGCGCCCCACATCCAATGCCCCCTACCCCCCCCCTCCCTCCTCCCCTCCCCCCCCCCCCCCCCCCCCCTCTTCGACTCACATATGCCACGGTACCACTCCTTGCACCTCCTCCCCCGTGCTGCTCCCCCCCACCATCACCTCCCCCACAGTCGCCACTGCGCCCAGCCTCTCCCCTTTGCCCAACAGCCCAAGCCCGGGCGCGCTGCCTAGGCGACCCATGCGCCCTGCACCAGCGGCGCCAGCGCGAACGGAGAGCGCGAGGCGGAGGAGGGTGATGAAGCAGGAGGTGACTGCTGAGAGGAGAGCGAATGCCACTACCCAATCAACATAAAGTACCCCTACTAGTACATACGCTTTCCCCCACCCTTTCTTCCATGTCCTGTCCACCACTTGGGTAGTTTGTCGAAACATTCGACGTAAGTGCCGGCATGTTTTGGGAACAGTGAGCCTGGCAAACATCGACAATTGAGACCTGCCCAGAAACAACATTCGTTTATGTATGTAGTGATGCTTCCATTCACTGAACTGTTAAACTTCTAGCAAGTGCTACCGTAACAAGTTTAGGTTCACATTATTTCAATCCTTTCTGTCAGATGTTATAGCATTACTGATGTGTGTCATATGGGGTACAACAGTTAGGGTTAGGTTTATATACTCCAACCAACCTTAGTCAAGATATCATTCCGTTCTTGACATGGTATCAGATAGGTTAGGATCCTGTGGGATCCCGTTCCTCCCGTACCGTCTCCTAACGCCTGTCACGCCGGTTCGTCTCGTAACCTAGCGCCCGTTGCGCCCGTATCGTCCCCTAGCGCCTATCACGCCGGTTCGTCTCGTTCCCTAGCTCTCGTTGCGCCTAGCCTACCACGCCCGACGCCCGTAGCTAGCGCCCGTAGCGCCCGCAGCGCCCGTAGCGCCCGAAGCGCCCGTAACGCCCGTAGCGCGCGAAGCGCCCGTAGCGCCCGTAGGGCCCGTCCCGTCGCGTCGCGTCGCGTCCCGTCCCGTCCCGTCGTCCCGTCCCGTCCCGTTGCGTCGCGCTCGTCCCGTCCCGTCGTCCCGTCCCGTCGTCCCGTCCCGTCGTCCCGTCGCGTCGCATCTGTCCCGTCCGTCGCGTCGCGTCTGTCCCGTCCCGTCTAGCTCGTCGCGCCCGTCCCGTCTGTCCCGTCGCGTGCGCTGTGTCTGCCCGTCCCGCAGCGCCACGCCGCGCCCGTCCCGTTCTGCCTACCCTACCGTCCTGCAGTGCCTTGAGCCTCACCCACTGCCTGTCACGCCCTACTTAGGCCCTTTAGGCGTTTTAGGGTTTCGGCAGCAACAGTTCCCACCTATTCGCTTCCGCTATGACGACCCCTAGGGTCCTGCGCTTTGACGCGACGGTAGGCCACTCGAGTTCTCGGTCTGGCTCCTGCGTGTGCGCCGCCTCCTAGAGAGTCAGGTTCAGGTAGACGAGTCTCTGTGGGCGCACGCTTCCGGTGACCTTCCTGCGCCCCCCGCTCCTGCACCCTTAGGCGCTGACGCTAGCACTACAGACAGAGACCGTTTTGCACGCCAGCGTGCTGACTTGACAGCGTGGAAGTCGCGTGACGCTGCGGCCTGCATCGCCCTTAGTAGCCTCCTCCCTGAGTCTGAGGAGGCCCACTTCACTCAGGTTCCCACTGCTAGTGAGTTCCTGACTGCGATCAAGGCTCGCTACGCTACTCCCACCACTGTCTCTCTTGGTCGACTTTTCCTCCCGTTCCTGTTTCTTGACCTCGCCTCGTTTGAGCGCTCTGCTGACTTGATCGCTCACCTGCGCTCGCTTGATTCTAGCTACCGCGCTGCCTGCACTGACGCGCAGCTTGCACTGCTCCCTCCCCCTATGGCGATTACTATCTATTTCATCGCCACTAGTCTCCCTGACCGCCTTGCCTCGGTTCGTGACGCGCTTCTTCTGAAGCACCCTAGCGAGCTCACTATCGAGGTCCTTGAGTCTGCCCTCAAGGACGTCGAGAGCAACCTCCGCTCGGTAGCCTCCGCCTCTGGTGCTGTGCCCCCTCCACTGTTTCACGGGTGCACTGTCCCTCAGCTTCCCACTTTTACTGCCTCCCTCGCCACTGCCGCTACTGACGTGACCGCAGCTGCTGTTACGACTTCTTCGCGGTCTAGGGGTAGGAGTGGCAGGAGGGGCGGCCAGGGTGCGGGCGGAGGCGGCGGAGGCGGCGGAGGTGGCGTGGCGAGCGGCGGTGGCCGGAGTACAGAGGCTTGAGGAGCGCCGCGTACAGCGGCTAGTGGCTCCTCTACTGCAGCTGGTGGAGGTGACGCTCGGGTTCGTCAGGCACCTGCTGGTCTGCCAGCTGCAGGTGCTGGAGTGGCGGCTTGGTACCTGACTCAGCGGCAGCAGCAGCAGCACCAGCAGCCCCTCCTCTCGCAGCAGCCACAGCAGCAGCAGAGGCAGCAGCAGGCTCCGTGGCAGGGGTCAGGACCGCGTCAGCTGTCGCGTGGTGTCGTCCACCCTCCCTGCACCTATCTTGTTCAGACAGGTGCTCGTCGAGGCCTCCCCTGTGGCCGCACCCACCCACCGGGTCAGTGCTTTGCTCAGCTCACTGACACACTTCGTGCGGCCTACGGCGTTGACGGCCCTGCCCCTGACTGGCTTCCCCTTGTGCAGACGTACGGCCCCGCTCTGTGGGGTATGTCGGCTTCTCAGTTGCTTGATCTCTTAGGAACTCCTCATGCTATGTATGCTGTTGTTGATTCTAGTGCTTCTGACTCTGTTTACTCGAGTGTTGTTAGCTTAGGTGCTAGTGTTGCTGAGGTGCCTGTTGCTAGCGTAGGTACTTGTGCAGACACTAGTCCAGGAGCTGCTCTGGAGGACACTTCGCTGTCTTTCACTCTGGAATCCGGAGCTTCGCACTGTTTCTTCCGCGACCACACGACGCTTACTCCGCTTCCTGCGCCGGTCTCTGTGGCACTGGCTGATCCCACTTCGGGACCAGTCACTGCTCGCTACACTACTACGCTTCCGTGCCCGGCAGTTCCCTCGGGTTTCCTGACGGGCTTCCACGTCCCCTCGTTCTCCAGGAACTTGGTGGGTGTGAGGCCGCTCGTGAGTAGTCACGTGGGTGTGTGGATTGAGCCTTCTGGCGAGACTGCGGTTTGTGTCGACGGGGACACGTACGCGCCTCTGGCCACCTTTACCGCTGAGCCGGGCTCTGGTCTCTACACACTTCACACTGGCCCTCGGCAGCAGCAGCAGCAGCAGCAGCAGCAGCAGCAGCAGCAGCAGCAGCAGCAGCAGCAGCCGCGGCAGCAGCAGCAGCAGCAGTAGCTACTGCCCCCGACCACTGTCACTGCACCCCGTCAGGTCCCCCCATCTCACCAGGTTGCCGCTTCTCACCAGGTAGCTGTGTCTGGTCAGGTTCCCGTGTCTGGTCCAGTTGCTGCGTCTTGCTCCTGTCGATCACTTGCCCACCCCACCGTTCTGTGGCACCACCGGATGGGGCACCCGTCCATTCCTCGCCTGCGCGCTATGTCTAGTCAGCGTCTTGTCTTAGGCCTCCCGCGAGTCTTGCCGTCGCTGCCGCCTTCGCTTGCACCACCTTGCGGTCCCTGCGTCGAGGGTCGGCTGCGCGCCACCCCTCACTCCTCCTCCCTTCGTCCGGCCTCCGAGCCCTTCGAGACTCTCCACTTGGACGTCTGGGGCCCCGCCCCTCGCCCTGGCCCTGAGCGAGAGAGTTTCTTTCTGGTGGTCGTTGACGAATACTCTCGCTACACCACAATGTTCCCCCTGGCAAAGAAGTCTGAGTTGACTTCTACGCTGATCCGGTGGTTACTTACCACTGCGGACACTCGTGGTCGTCGTGTCAGCTGTCTTCACTCCGACCGTGGGGGTGAGTTTCGCTCCGGCATTCTCGCTGGATTCTGTCGCGAGCAGGGCATCCGTCAGTCTTGGACGCTTCCAGAGTCCCCACAGCAGAATGGGGTTGTTGAGCGCCGCATAGGCTTGGTCATGGAGATTGCACGCACCTCCATGATCCACGCCCGTGCGCCCCATTTTTTGTGGCCCTACGCGGTTCGGTACGCCGCTCACCAGTTGAACCTCTGGCCACGTGTCTCTCGGCCAGAGGCTTCACCGACCAGTCTTTGGACCGGGTCCCCTGGTGCTGCGTCGCGTTTTTGTGTCTGGGGCTGCTTGGCGCTTGTTCGCGACACCTCCGCGGTTAAGCTCTCCCCTCGCGCCCTTCCCTGTGTCTTCCTTGGTTTCCCCGAGGACTCCTCTGGCTTCACCTTTTACCACCCTCCCCTTCTTCGGTTCTTTGACTCCCGCGACGTTCGTTTTGTTGAGTCCGTCCCCTACTACACCCGGTACCCCTGTCGATGTCTTTCGGTTCCTCCTCCCCCTATCTTCCTGACTCCCGCCCCCCCTCCTGCCCCTCGGGTACAGCCTCCCCCCCCTGGTCCAGCCCCGTCAGGTGTGTCACACGCTACCCCCCCCCCCCCTCGGTCGCCCCTCAGGTACCGTCCCCTTCCCCACAGTCCTCCTCACAGCCTACTGCAGACCCTGCGGGAGCAGGTGCTAGTGTCGAGGACCTTGGGGGTGCTACCTCTGGAGGTGTTGGGGTTGGCGCTGAGACTGTGCCTGCACGAGGCCCTGGTGCTGGGGGTGCTGGAGTTGGAGCTGAGCCCATGTCTGCTGGAGGTTCTCGTCTTTGGGGAGCTGGTGTTGGTCGAGCTGTCCCTGGGGGTGCTACGACTGGGCGTGCGGGTGCACCCACTGCGGGACCTGGAGAGTCTGGGACTGGCCGTGTTGCTGCTGGTGGTGCTGGCTCTGGGGGTGGTGCGACTGGTGCTTTGGAGAGCGGTCCTGGGGCTACCACCGCCCCGGACACTACTCCTCCCCCCCACCCCTACCCGACCCGGCACCAGACCCGTGTTCGCCGTGCCCGTGAGGAGCAGCTGGAGTTGGAGCGAGAGGAGCGAGAGTTGGAGCGGCAGCAGTTGGAGCTACAGCAGTTGGAGCTACAGCAGCTGGAGGAGCAGCAGCAGGAGCAACGGTTGCAGCCGAAGCAGGAGCAACGGCCGCAGCGACAGCCGCCGCAGCAGGAGCAGCAGCCGCAGCAGGAGCAGCCGCAGCCGGAGCAGCAGGAGCAGCAGCAGCAGCCGCCGCAGCAGGAGCAGCGGCAGCAGCCGCCACAGCAGGAGCAGCAGCAGCAGCCGCCGCAGCAGGAGCAGCAGCAGCAGCCGCCACCTCCGCCTCCTGTCTCTGGCCTTCGGGCCCTCGGTCTCCCCTCTCCCTCTCCTCCCTCCTCCCCCTCTCCTCCTGTCTACGGTCCCAGGTTTCCTCCTCCTGACTACACCCCAGCTGTTTTCCCCCGTTCTCAGCCTCCGTTGTCCCCTCCTCTTTCTCACACTTGGGCTTCTCGTCGCTCTCCTCGTGCTCGTTCGTCGTCCCCTGTGCCCTTCACTGACCTTCGTACTGCCCTATTTCGTTCTAGTCTGCCTCGTTCGTCTCCGTCTGCGCTTCCTTCTCCTCCTAAGTCGGCCTTCACTGCTTCCCTCTCTACTCCTGTCACTGACTACTACCGCACGTACCGACCTGTTCTCTCTCGTGTTCTCGCCTCTCTTGTTACGGACCCTCGTGCCTCTCTGTCCTCTGTCTCCGCCCTTACTGTCGCCGTCACTGAGTTCGCCACTACTCGCCGCCTTGACTACGCCACTTGCCTCGTGGCTGCTCCTCCTACCAGTCCTCTGGCCGTCGGGGGTGAGTCTGCCCTTGGCTGTGACGCCCTAGAGGACAGGCAGTTTGAGCTGGAGTTACTGGCAACCGCTTCCCCTCATCTCTGTGCCATGCTGCTCGCCCCTGAGGGAGACCCCGACGCCCTTCACATACCTACTCCTCGCACTTACGCTGAGGCAGTGTCAGGGCCTTGGGCCTCTCAGTGGAGAGCTGCCATGGACTCAGAGATGGCCTCCTACAGATCCACAGGCACCTACGTCGACGAGGTTCCCCCCTCTGGGGCGAACGTAGTCGATGGCATGTGGATCTCAGGGTGAAGCGGCCACCGGGATCTCCTCCGGTCTTCAAGGCGCGCTATGTGGCTAGAGGTTTCGGTCAGCGCGAGGGATTTGACTTCTTTCAGACCTTCGCGCCTACCCCGAAGATGACCACTCTTCGGGTGTTACTGCACGTAGCAGCACAGAGAGACTACGAGCTACACTCTCTTGACTTCTCGACTGCCTTCCTTCAGGGTAGCCTACACGATGAGGTCTGGTTGCGTCGTCCCTCTGCCTTCACTGGCATTTTCCCTCCTGGGACCCAGTGGAGGCTGAGGCGACCGGTCTACGGTCTCCGTCAGGCTCCTCGTGAGTGGCACGACACCCTTCGTTCTACCCTGCCTGACCTCAATTTCCAGCCGTCTTCTGCTGACCCGTCGCTGTTTTTTCGTCGTGGCTCCACACCGTTCTTTGTACTGGTCTACGTCGACGACCTGGTTTTCGCCACTGCTGACAGGGTTGCTTTGGCTGACGTGAAGCGCGAACTGCAGAAGAGACACACGTGCACTGACCTTGGTGAGCTGCGTCACTACCTTGGCCTGCAGATCACCAGGGACAGAGCCGCTCGCACCATTACACTCTCACAGTCACACATGGTGCAGCAGGTCCTTCAGCGGTTCGAGCTTCAGCACTCCACAGTACAGCGCACACCTCTTGCTGTTGACCACAGACTGACAGGACCCTTTCCTGACGAGCCGTTCGAGCCTAGTGGTCCTTACGCTGAGCTTGTGGGCGGCCTCATGTACCTGATGACTTGTACTCGCCCGGACCTCGCCTTCCCTCTCAGCATCCTTGCTCGCTTTGTTGCGCCAGGGAGACACCGTCCAGTTCACTGGACAGCTGCTGTGAGGGTGGCGAAGTACCTAGCGACGACATCAGGCGTGGGGCTGGTTCTTGGAGGGAGACAGGACGTCGTGCTTACTAGTCACTGTGACTCTTCTTACGCTGACGACGCCGAGACGCACAGGTCTACTCAGGGGTACTGTTTCAGCCTGGGCTCTGGAGCTGTTTCGTGGAGGTCCACACGTTCCTCCTCGGTCTCGACCTCTACTGCTGAGGCCGAGATCTACGCTGGAGCTATGGCTGCACGGAGCTGCGCTGGCTGACGTTCTTGCTCACTGACCTTGGTGAGCGGCCGAGCTCTGCGCCGACCTTGTTCACTGATAACAAGGCGACGATTCTCCTCTGTCGAGAGCCGCGACTGGAGAGCAGAGTGAAGCACATCAACGTCAGGTACTAACTTCTGCGAGAGTTGCAGAGGCGTGGGCAGGCTCGCTTCGACTTTGTGGAGTCCGAGGCCAACACTGCAGACATCTTCACCAAGGCCCTTCCGCCTTGTGACCACCAGATGTGTTGTGTGCAGTTAGGTCTCGTTGACACAGGTTCTCGCCTTGCGTAGTCGTGAGTTCTCTGTTTTGCTTTGTTTGTACGCTTTATATATACCGCTGTGCACTCTTGAACTGGCCTTGTGGCTCTTTTGCTTGTGCTCAGAGTGTGTGGTGACATTGTGATCCACCCTGAGCTTTGTTGCTTTGTGACTGGTCTTGTGACCGTACGTTGTAGGTTTGCTTGACACCCCACTTAGGCTATGGGGGTGTATCAGATGTTATAGCCTTAGTGATGTGTGTCATATGGGGTACAACAGTTAGGGTTAGGTTTATGTACCCCAACCAACCTTAGTCAAGATATCATTCCGTTCCTGACACTTTCTGCTCCAGCAGGTACAGTAATGCTGGAGCGCAGGACAGAAGACTTACAACCTAAGCTACCATAATCATATCCCTCTGTTCTCCTCCATTTTATTGAACGTTTTCATGCAGTTGCGATCCCAGTCGCCACCAACACCCTCCATAACCACCGACTCCACAACCACACCTGCCCAATCCACGTGCACTGCACAACATGCACAGGCATACAGCCCTGGCACACCACACTGCCTACAATCAATCTCAGCACCACCACCACTAACCTTGATTGGAATGTCAAGCCACATTCTCCTCCACACAGGCACCGCACTGCACTGCACTGCCCTGCCATGCACTGCCTTGCACTGCACTGAACTGAAGGCTATACACACTGGACCAATAGATACCTCATGACATTGTATGTCTCACCATGAACTCCCTTCACCTCTTCCCCTTACCCACCCACTCTTCCCCTTACCCACCCACTCTTCCCCTTACCCACCCACTCTTCCCCTTATCAACCCACTCTTCCCCTTACCCACCCACTCTTCCCCTTATCAACCCACTCTTCCCCTTACCCACCCACTCTTCCCCTTATCAACCCACTCTTCCCCTTACCCACCCACTCTTCCCCTTATCAACCCACTCTTCCCCTTACCCACCCACTCTCTCCTTTAGCTGAACATATACTATTTTCAGGTATGAAAATGCAGCTTCACTCACATCCCCACGCACGCGTGCGCTCACAAACCATATGCCAACACATGCACGCACTGATCACCCTCCCAATCACCCCTCCGTCATTCCCCCGTCATCCCCCCTTCCATCACCCGCGCACGTCCAGTCACGGCAGAACGCTATCCCACAAGCTCCCAAGCTCCCACCGCCCTCTCCCTGCTCTGCCGTTGCTGCCGTTCCCCAGCCGCCTCAAAACGCCCGTCACAGCAGCCTGGATCATCATCCACAAAGCCTACAAGCCCGGTGCCCCGCTTGTCCACTCCACCTCCCGCTTCCCCCGGTGCCGCATGCCCAACCCAGCCCAGCGGCCGCTCCCCGCCAAACAGATTCTTGACGAAGAGCACCCGCCCGCTCTGCTCGCGATGCTGCCTCACGAAAGCCATCATGGATTCATTCACGGCAGCGTGGCATCGACAAAACCGACCAGCGTGTCAACATCCCGCTTCCCCCGGTGCATGCCCAACGTCTTCTCCCCATCAAACAGCACGAGCGTGGGAAAGCCGCTCCACCTGACGCGCCGCGGCGCCGCCTCGCAAAAGCCGTCACGGCAGCGTGGCATCGACAAACCCGACCAGCGTGTCCACGTCCCGCTTCCCCCGGTGCATGCCCAGCGGCTTTTCCCTATCAAACAGCACGAGCGTGGGAAAGCCCGGGATCTGAAACTCCTCAGCCAGCTGCGGGTAGCGGTAGGCGTCGACTCGCGCCACCTGCACGTTGAAGTCGAGGTCCTTGAGCCTGGCCGCCAGGTCCACCCATGCCGCCTCCATGCGCTTGCAGTGTGGGCACCAGGGGGCGTAGAACATCAGGAATGTCGGCCTGAGAGGGGGGTTTGTGGGGGGGTGGGAGGGGAGAGAAGAGGGGAGGGGGGTAACAGGGAGGAGGAGGAGGAGAGGGAACGGTAGGAGGAGCAGCAGGGTGAAGGGAGGGAAGGAAGGGGAGGGCGGAGAGATCAGGTGTGGTGTGGGTAGCGGTAGGCGTCGACTCGTGCCACCTGCACGTTGAAGTCGAGGTCCTTGAGCCTGGCCGCCAGGTCCGCCCATGCCGCCTCCATACGCTTGCAGTGTGGGCACCACGGCGCATAGAACATCAGGAACGTTGGCCTGGGGGGAGGGGAGGGGGGGAGGGAGGAAGGGGAGGAGGGGAGGGGGAAAGGAAGTGGAGGTTTGTGTAAGGCTCCATCTTCTCTCATGCCCTGAGGAATTAGGCAGCAGCAAATGTCCAATTTTAATGCCCATGCAGCTTATCTGCAGCTGCATGCAGGGTCTGTTCCCTAGTTTCATCCCTCTCCTCATGTTTCAATCGAAAAAAAAACACAACAACAAAGTTATTTTTCGCATTTTTTATGCTCACCCGTCACTACCCCCATCCCCCTCGTCTCAAGTACCTGCGTTGGAGGGCTGCATGCAGGTTGCCAGGGTTGAGCTCCAGCACTCCTGGTCGCCAGGATTGCTTGTGAGGGGTGTGGCTGCATGCATGCAGGTTGCAGAATTTTTGGTCCACAGAGAAATCCCAGTTCCATGATTCTATCTCAAGTATCTACCTGCGTCGGAGGGCTGCATGCAGGTTGCCAGGGTTGAGCTCCAGCACTCCTGGTCTCGCCTCACGCCTGGAGAGCCATGGATGGGCGGCAAGAGCATATTTTGCACATGCACGCACATGCACGCCACGCAAGCACATGGCACGCACATGCAAGGGGATAAATGGAGATAGGTGATGCAAGGGATATGCAAACGAGAGGCAGGGAGTACCAAGGAGAAGCAAGGAGAAGGGCATTTCTTTCTGCATGCAAGAGGCACATGAAGGGAACTAGGAAGAAGAGCAACAGCCATAACAAAAAGCTTTCACACCACAAGCAACATGGGCCAGGGTCATGCCCCATGTTCATGCCCCATGTGCTTGCCCCATGCCGTGCCCATGCCCATGCCCATGCCCATGCCCATGCCATTGCCCATGCCCCATGCCCTATGTTCATGCTCAAACCCCATGCCCCGCACCCGGCGCCCCGCGCCCTGCGCCCCACATCCAATGCCCCCTCCCCCCCCCCCCCTCCCCCTTTGACTCACATATGCCACGGTACCACTCCTTGCACCTCCTCCCCCGTGCTGCTCCCCCCCTCCATCACCTCCCCCACAGTCGCCACTGCGCCCAGCCTCTCCCCTCTGCCCAACAGCCCAAGCCCGGGCGCGCTGCCTAGGCGACCCATGCGCCCTGCACCAGCGGCGCCAGCACGGGCGGAGAGAGCGAGGCGGAGGAGGGTGATGAAGCAGGAGGTGACTGCTGAGAGGAGAGCGAATGCCACTACCCAATCCGCCCACCTTGCTCCGAACCACGCTCCCCTCCGCTGCTGCCGCTGCTGCTGCGGCTGCTGCTGCTGTTGCTGCTGCTGCTGCTGCCCCTCTTCCTCTTCTGCTTCCTCCTCCTCCTCCCTGTTCTGCTGTTCCTGCTGCGGCTGTTGCTGCGGCTGGTGCTGCTGTGACGGCTGGTACTGCCACAGCAGCGGGTACCTGCGAAACCCGTCGACGAACCTGGACCACAGGGTGGGTGCCGAACCTGCCCCTGCACCAGCTGCTGCTGCAGCTGCTCCTACCCCTACCGCGGCAGAATCTAGAGAGCCGAGGTAGGTGGAGCTGTGATGCGAGGGAGAGGAGGCAGGACACAGGGATGGGTCAAGAGCAGAGAGAGAAGCGAGCAGAGAGGCGGACGGAGGCCGGTAGCGAGATGAGGAGGTGGAGCCTGATGGGTCATGCAGAGAGGGAGGAGAGGGAGTAAGGGGAGGCGCAGCAGCACTCGTGCGTGTGGAGGAGAAGGAGAATCTAGAAGAGGGCGAGGCAGGGGTGGGAGGAGAACTAGCAGCAGCAGCAGCAGCAGCACGGGGTGGTCTGGCACCGGCGAATCTAGCGTTAGCGAAGCTAGTCCCACGCTTGGCCGGTTCTGAGGCGGCAGCTGTGGCTGCTGTGGTTGCTTTTGCTGCTGCTGCTGCAGTCGCCATTGCTGCTGCTGCTGCGGGTTCGGACACACTGGTGGCGCTGGTGACAGTAGCTGCGCGGGTTACGAACGAGGGCAGCGAGGGCAGTTTGAAGTGCGCGCGGGAACGGGCAGGCGCGGGGGAGGACGGGCGGGGAGCGGAGAAGTAGGAGACAGACGCGGAGGGCGAGGAGGGGGGACGCGCAAACACCGCGCGGGGTCTTGGCGTCGTTGGGGGGGATATGTACGGCTCCGCGCGGCGTGCTGGCGCAGCAGCAGCTGCAGCGGAAGCCGCAAGGGGAGGAGAGAGAGGAGGAACGGCGGCAGCAGCAGGGTGGGAGGAGTGGAGGGAGGAGGAGAGCAGAGGCGAGGACGGCGTGGGGGAGAGCGTCTGAGTAGCATCAGCCCAAGGGAGAGTGGAACCCGAGGAAACAAAGGAGGCGGTAGGAGACACAGGGCAGTCTTCTATCTCTGTAGAGGCGGCAACATCAGCATCTGCAACAGCGGCAGAGGCGGCGGCAGTGGAGGGGATGATGGGTGTGATGGGCGGGAGCGGAGGCGGGGGCGGAAGCGGGGCGGAAGGCTGGCGGCGCTGGGACACGCCCTGCGCCTCCCGAAGCAGGACCTGCGAGTGGGCGGTGGCAGGGGGGGGAGGAGGAGAGGGGATACACGGGTTGAGGGGAGAGAGGGGAGCAGCAAGCGCAGTGAGGGGGCAGCACGCGCAGGATCAGGAGGTAAGGGGAGCAGTAAAATGTGAGCAGCAAGGCTCTCTCTCGTCGCGCACCGTTTTGACAGCAGCAATCCTAGAACTGAACCTTCCGACTAAACCCCTTTCCGCGCTTACCCGCAGAGCGGACGCCTCTTGCTTCATTGCGCGCATGCCCGCGTACACCGCCACGACTTCCCCCCGATTTGCGCCAGCCCCCCCCGCTTCCCCCTGCGCCTGCTCCGCCTCCTGCCCCTGCAACAGCTCCTCCAATCCCTGCTCCAGAATCGTCACCTCCTTCTCCACCAATGAGAACGCGTCGCCGGTCGTCGGCGGCGCCGTCGCACGGCTGGGCGACGGCAGCGACTGCGACGGCAGCGACTGCGTGCGACGCGGGAATCCGCGCTTGGCGAGGGACGAAATCGGCTCCGTCTCAAACCCCGCCGCCGTCGCCGACGCCGCAGCAGCCGCTGCGGCTGCTGCGGCACTACCAGCAGCCCCCCCCGCAATAGCAGTTGCGGAGGTAGATCCCGAAATCGGCGGCGGCTTCTCATTGGCTTTTCCCGACCTGCCGGAACCGCTTCGTGCGTTTCCGCCGCCAGGCGCGCCGGCTGCGCCGGTTGCGGCGGCGGCGGTGACGCGAGAGGAGCCTTCTCGGCCCCTGGAACGGGACGGGCTGCTGCCGACCCTGGTGTGAGGCCGCCTGAGCCGGCTCAAGAGATGTGCCGGCCTGAAGCTGCCTAACGACAAGAAATGCCGCCCGTTGGCGCCACCGCTCCCGCCCGCCTGGCTGGCGGTGGTGCTGCGGGGTGGGCTGCAAACAGACGCGCCAGCGCCAGCACCGACTCCAGCGGCGCCACCAGCGCCAACGCCAGCGCCGGCGACGGCGGCGGCGGCGGCGGAAGAGATCGGGGAGTCGGGAAGCGTGACAGTATCGGAGTCGTCGAAGAGGGAGTTTACGTCAGCCACAGCGGCGAAGCTAGAAGCTGCGGAGATGGGGAGGCAGGTGTAGAAGGAGAGGCAGGGAGGGGAGTGCGCGGAGGAGGACGAGGACGACGCATGCGCATGAGAATGCGAGGGCGCGTTAGAGTGCGAGGGAGATTGAGAATGCGATTGGGAGTGAGATTGAGAGAGCAAGGTAGCGGCGGTGGCATCATGGGAGCTGTGAGCAGATGTAGGAGGCGAGGAGGACGAGGAATCGGAGGAGGAGAAAGAGGAGGGGGAGGAGGAGGAGGGGGGTTTCCGAAGCCAAGCACCTACTGTGGAGGACCAAGAGGAGGAGGAAGAGGAATAGGCGGAGGGAGATACGGAGGATCGAGTGTCTTGATGCTGCTGCTGCTTCGCTGACGCGCGTTGTTTGCTATCGCTGTTAAGTAGCTGTGCCTGCGTCGGTGCCTGAACCCCGCCGGGACTGGTGGTGGTTCCGCGTTGACGGGCGTGCTTTCGACGGGCTCTGCTGCTGCCGCTGCTGCTGATGTTGTTGCTGTTGCCGCTGCTGCTCTTGCTGCTGCTCTTAGCTTGGCCCCACGAGGAACGGCCGACGTCAGCGTGAGACGCGGAATGCGGAGGAGCGTGTGACGCGCCGCTCGCTGCTGCGACGCCGGTGTAGCCGGTGTCGACCGGCGCCGCCCATAGAGAAGGCACGGAGAAACACGACACGTTCACCATGCTGCTGCTGTTGCTGCTGCCGTTGATACTGCCGGCGAGTTGACGATCGTCGGAAGTGTCGCGACAAGCTGATCGCACAAACCAGGAAAATATGACTTTATTATTAAAATAAAATCCGCGGAAGGATTCGAGTGTTCGGCTTCTCTCGGTTAGCTGTTGAAACCTTTAACCAGTCTACAGGTGCTAACACATTAGTTGTCAGCTGAGGTTAGTAGGTTAGGGTCCACAATACCTACTCGCAAGCTGCTCTGAAACGGACGAGAGTTGTGAAATGTCGAGCAGTAAGGAGCGAGCTCGTAGTGATGAATCATGATGCGTGAGGCTGCCATCCAAAGTGATGGCAATCCCAAGGGTGGTGCGGAGGAAAGCTTGGGGGGAAAGGGAAGTGGGGAGGGGAGAGAAAGGGGAGGCGGAGTTGTGGGGCGGATAAGGGGAGTGGAAGGGGTGAGGTGAGGTGATGAGGAGGAGGAGTCTGTATGTATCCCCGCTTCCAGCGGGGGAGGTTACAACAATGCGTCACATCGATGGCATGCGCCAATCAGATCATCCGCGCGCGTCATCCTGCAACCGCTCACAGCTTATCCCCCTCGTAGTCCCCCCGCTTCCGCCCCCCACTTCCTGAGCAAATCTCTGATTTGTTGCGCTGCTCCTCCTGCCTTTTCCCGCGTCGGCACACCTCAAATCGAAGTGATGTGGGCGGCGGAAACATGAAGTCCAGGCGCACGAATCGAACTCATAAAGGTTGAAATGCAGCATTGCTTTCTATTGGCTAACCATCAGTCCTTCAGCGCCCTCATCAGGGTGCTGCTAGAGAGGTAATTAGCCCTTGGAGCCCTGAAACGATTTCTGGATTGCGTTCTCACAATGCGTTAACTTTCCTTGAAATATACCCACTCCACAGGCTGGTAGCAACACGTTCCCAGCCTATAACATCCTGTAAGGGCTAAAAGTTGAGAGATACAGAGTCGTTGTACTGTGATCAAACCCATTCTCCAGTGGGTAGTCAGAATAACGAAATCTACCATAGAGCGGATACTTTCGCTTGAAGATATCCTCAGTGCTGTGAGTACCTAGAGTACATCAATTCCGGAGAAGCAGCTCTGTTACTGTATAATCATACATAGCGTTGGCATTTAGGCAACATTCATGCACTCATAGTGTGGCTTTCAGTTTTTCAGAAAATCATATCAATCTGCTAATGGTGCATACAGGTGCAGCTGACGAAGAATTATATTATCATCACGTGGTCGTCTCATAAAATGAATCGAGCATATGTGTGTGTACAGTCTATTGTTCAAGTGCGTAGCCTGCATTCACCCATGCAGCTGTCCCACCAGTTACATTCAATACAGACTCCGATGGCAAGCTGAGTGCTACCGCCACTTGCTGAGCTGCCCGTTTACTCGTGTTTCCTGCAGATGGAAGAGGGCAGATGTTTATATACCGGTAAGACTGCCAGCTCTGGAGAGACAAGAATGTAGGTAAAAACTCCTGAAAAGGTGAGGAAAAGAAGCAACTCACCAGCATAGCAGACGAAGGCCAGGGGACCAGAACCAGCGTCTGCAGCATATGCCACCACATCCCCCATAGACACTGACACAGCTCCGGGAATGTGCCTGCAACAAAAAAATCCTAGTTTCTCAATCACAGCAGTTAAAAACATAAGCAGATGCCAGTCCTCGGTTACTGTACGCCATCACACCCACTGTCCATACTTCCTTCTCCATCAATCCTCACCCCCCTCCTCACCGCCTTCCCCTCCTCCCCCCCTTCAAAGACACACCAGCAAAGAAGCCTTTACCATCATCTCTCCCTTCTTACCCTCTCTTGTAGTCCTCTGGAGCCCTCACGTCAATCAAAACAGGCACGGCGTCCGCGTTCCCCTCCAGAGCCGCCTTGAGATCATCCACACCTATCTCGCCTATAGCTGGAAAGGCGAGTGGCAAGGAAAAGGGGGACGGAGGCGGGGGCATACGGATCGATGGACAGTGAGAGAAACGCATGTATGGAGACCTTCTCACTCATGCGGTATAGTAGAGGGCAGATTGCACGCAGGTAAAGCATTGTGTTGTGTGTGGGAAACCTTGAGTGAACCCATGCGCGAGCGCCATGCATTACCTGCCGGTGCGCTGTTATAGGCGGAAAGAATCTTCGCCATGTCGTCAGCCGAGGGAAACAGCTGGGCTGGTGGGTCGAAGAGGAAAGGGAACAAGGAAACGGGAGAGGTCAGCTTTTCATACGCCGTTTATCACGTCAAAGCTGACAAGAAATAAAAGGTTTCTCGGCACTGGTTGGCCCAAACTCTCGGTGAGATGTGGAAGAAATGGGAGGTACCAGCAGGGGCGTTGGGATCGGTGGGGATAGGTGAGCGCGAGACGAAGGGATCGTCGACCAGGCTGTCAATTGTGTCATCATTGTCATCATCGGCGTCGTCGGGAGAAAACACCAGGTCGCTGCTCTCCTTCTCCGCCTGTTTCGGCATTCAAGAGTGACGAAAACAGGGGACGTGGAACGTAAGGGGCGAGGAAAAAGGTCAACACGTGAAGGTGGAGGATTGTGAACAACTGGACGAATAATTTAAGGAGAGATGTAATCTTGCTTCTCCGGAATTGATGTACTCTAGGTACTCACAGCACTGAGGATATCTTCAAGCGAAAGTATCCGCTCTGCAGGCGCATTCCCGCCTTCGCCGCTACTCCATGCCCGGAGGTCACGCCTTCCAGTCGCCCTCAATGGTTTCAGATTGCCAGCGATACATACCGCGTCCACCTGACGAACAGAGCTGGTGAGGCATACCGAACCAGTGAATGCGGCGGAGATGACAGTAGCAGTAAGGGACGCCGCCATTTCTCTAGGCAAAAGGAGGAACCGTTGAGACAAACCCGGAGAAAGTATCTATGCGTGAGTGGTTCGAAGCTCGTATGTAAATGTTATTGTAACTCTGATGAAAACTAAATACACGAGTGACTGGGAGGGAGTGCGTGCACTCTCAAACCAGTGAGGAGGATATGGTCTCCGAATCGTGTACATGTGGAAGACACGTGGCGCATTCATGTACCACGCTATGGACATCTGAGCTTATGTTAAAATGAGACTGCTTATGCGGATTAGCTACACTTCCAGGGTAAGAGGTAAGACGTAGAGGCAGTTTTGTGAGAAAAAACAATGCTGGTGATAAGTAACACCGTCAGCATTAGGAACACGCGTTTCATTGTATGTAGTTTTGGAAGGTTTTATTTTAGTCATAACCGCATTGTATGGGGTGGGGCTATCCATCAAATTGGGACCAAACATTGATGTAGTATATATAGTGTGTGCTAAAATTACTCTGAAGCATACACCTGAACCCGAAAGTTGCTTCTATCGAAAGTCTGGGAACGATGTCTTTTGAAAAACGGGATTCATGTTCATGGTATACTCTGCCCGTAATTCTTCAGAGATATCCATCAAGCAGTGGTGCTTTTAGGGAGGCAAATATCAGTTCAGCGGAGATCAGAGGGCTCAGAATCTTTAGGCACCGCATTTCCTCCTCCAATCGACGTGCCCGTGCCTCCGCTGGGCAAAGCATCCTGTCTCCCCTAACCATCCATCCATACCAGGCATAAGTTCCACAGGCTGTTTCTGCCGTTGCCTTCCTCTAACTCACACCATCCCTCACCAGTCAGAGGAACTATTTCACATCCTAGGCGTTAGTCTCGGTTGAAGCAAATCCCGAGACTAGGAGAGTGATTCTGATCCACGTCAGTTGGTGGGAGAGACGTTTTCGTTGCTATTCTATAGTTTCTTGTTGATACATATCGTTTCGCTCGACACGTGTGTGCATCATAATTTGGAGATCTACTTGAGCGTCCATAGCTTCTGACCCAGATATCATATTTTATAAAGATGAATTCGGCAGGAGTTGTAGGTACGTGTATTTTTCTCTTTTCCTGGCCTTACACGGAGTTGGACTCTACCACATCTTTGTTGCCGAGCGTTTCTACTGTTAGGTTAGTTGATATTCTGGGTCATTCTGAAGTCTCACACGCTATGAGTTTTGTGTGACCCTCTGTGCGATCGATTATGTTTCAACGCGGATTTTTGGGATGAACACGTTGAGGTGGTTGCTCGACTCACGTTAATACTTGTCGACCGTTGTTGTTGACGATTTTTCAGCCACAAAATACTTATTCGTGGAGGCAGCGGTCCTCTTCTTCTCTTTTTCAGTATGAGCTTTCCGCGATGACGTTTCCTTCTTTTCCGACATTTTTCCCTAAATTTGTCGCTTTCCGCCCAGTTCCCAGAAGCTTCCGGCTTTTGGATGAGCTGGACCGAGGGGAAAAGGGTATCGGTGATGGTTCGGTGAGCTATGGCATGGACGATGCGGACGACATCTACATGCGGTCATGGACGGGAACCGTGATCGGCCCTAACAACGTGAGGCGATCAGTCTGTGCTGTTGCCGTTCGTAGCTGCTGAAGTTTCTGCAGCGATCCTCGTTTTCCCGCCTTCCTAATCCTTTAAGAATCTCATTTGCGTTTCATTGTTGGAGTGAGTCTTCCTGTGCTGCTTGAATGTTCTTGGATGACGGTTCACTGATGGCATGTTCCTTCTGAGCTCTGCCTTGAAACCGCTCTTGCTTCGCGCTCTAATCATTGTCATCTGTGTGGACTCGCAGTCTGCGCATGAGGGTCGCATCTACACTGTGAAGCTTTATTGTGATAAGGACTACCCAGAACGGCCACCAACTGTGCGCTTCCATTCACGCATCAACATGCATTGTGTCAACCAGGAGACGGGTGTGGTAAGTCGTGCAAATTGTATATACTGACTTTTGTCTAGCCTTCACTTAAGAAACAATTGAGTGGTTGTAACCCTCAGAAGCTCTTTACAGGGCCGTAGCGTTAAGTGAGCAGTTGGATCTGGTATTGTATGTGTGCACGGTTTGAGGTTTGTGCAGTTGGTCACTTGCCTCCCCTCTCATATTTTATGTTTCACAGGTGGAGCCAAAGCACTTCCCGCTGTTGGCCCAGTGGCGTCGAGAGCACACCATGGAAACCATTTTGACTGAGCTGCGCCGTGAGATGGCATCGGGTCACAACCGCAAGATACAGCAGCCTCCGGAGGGAACAACCTTCTGATTTTTCTGCGCGGTGAATGAAATGTCCGTTGGCAGTTCATCATTGTTTCGTGACAGCCTGCGTGTTCCTGTTCGCTTGCTCTGACCTTTGAGTGTATCTGCTTCGTGGCTGCTGTTGTGGAGAAAAGCCTATCTCACCTTCACTCATGCTTGCAGGTTAAAATTTGTGCAGCAGTATTTTCGTGGAGTCACTGTGTGGTTTTGGAAGGCATGGATTGCACTTCAGACGTTGGGAAAACTTACCACATGCTGATTATGCATCCTGTTTTGATGTTATGGTGCTGTGCTGGTGCATAGCAATTTGATTTGTTGAACAAGTACGTGAATACTAACAGTATGGAAAGCGGACTACAAATTACACATTCGCTGGTGCATACTGAGAACAAAAACACACCATGTTCCACAAAGTGTGACCAAGTGCTCATTCTCCACACATTCCAGCCTACCGTAACAGGAATGCAACAACTACTCAGTAGCCTGCTTCGTCACAATCTCTCTCAACGCCTCCAAGTAGTCCTGCTTCTCCTCCGCCGTCGCATCGTCACCCAGCGCACAGTCGCCCACGCCCCACTCTGGATCACACAGCAACCACACCAAGGCACCAAGCACAGCACAGACACCGAACGCACCCAAACCATTGAATGCACACAAGGCACACATGACACAAGGGGTACGCAAGGCACACACGGAACACGAGGCACAAGAGTGGTGGTGAGAATGGTGGTGCTGCTCATGCGCCCCATGCCACGTGACAGCAGAACCACCCATGCTGATACTGAGCAAGCTTTTCATTCATAACGATGTTGTGACATGTCATGGTGCCATAGCACGGAAGCACTCAGTGGACGTCATACCATGCCATGCCCTACCATGCCATATCATGTCAGCCATGCCAATCCATACCATATCATGCCATACCATGCCACATCTACAGCAAGAGGAGGGTGCGCGAGCGAGCGTGCGCGGGCGATTAAGGACATACCAGCGCCACGCAGGCAGTACTTGTTCTCTATCTCTTGCCGGTTCCTGCACCACCACCAGCACCCAGCACAAGCACCCAACACAAGCACGCACTTAGGGTGCATTCTCTGTGCTCAGAAAATGCAAAAACAGTTCCTCAAACCACAGCAGGCAGTAGTCCCAGCAACAACCCGATCCTGCTCTCCCCCACTACCTCTAATGGCTCCCATCTTCCGCTCCCCACTTGCCTCATTGAGGCGCCATCCCATCCCCTATACCCCTCCTGCCACCCACCCCAGCTACATTCTCCCCACTCGTCTTCATCTCAACTCTACGCTGCACTGCATGCGCCCCACCCAGCCCAACCTTGTCCCACCCAGCCACAGACAGCCCAACACAGCTCCACCGCACCCCACCCCACTGAGCGGCACTCACTTCTCACGGTTCTCCTGGCTCTGCTTGAGCAGCTGCTGCAGGATGGGCGAGCTGAGGAAGTTGCTGTCCAGCTGCTCATACCGCTCCCTCTCACTCAACGCTGCTCAGAGGAACACCGGGGGATAACGTGGGGAAAGGGCAGGGGGAAGTCAAGCCACCTCAAGAGTCGCGTCTGCCTCAGCGCCGTGCTGAGGAAGTTGCTTTCCAGCTGCTCGTACCGCTCCCTCTCACTCAACGCTGCCCAGGGGAACACGGGGGGGCAAGGGGGAGTGGAAGAGTGGGCAAGGGGAGAGGGAGGACATGGGGGAAGGGGAACCCGGGAGAACGCGGGGGGGAACACAGTGGGAAAGCAGGGGGAAGGAGGAAGGAAAACGGGCAAGTGGGGCCGGGAAGAAGGGGAAATGGAGCTGAGCAACCAGCTCTGTGGTACGCCCGTGGGGGAGGAAGGGCGCTGAGCAACCAGCAACAGTGCAGGTGATGCAGCAGGGGGAGAGGAGGGCTTGGGAAGGGAGGGCGGACACGACTTGTGAGAAGTCTCAAACGGTGAGCAGCGCTTTGGGAGGCAAGGGACATGCATGACACGGTCAGGAGAGATAGAGTGCATTTTTTAGGTGCCTCGCCTCAAGAGCAGCGCTTTGGGAGGCAAGGGACATGCATGACACGGTCAGGAGAGAGAAAGAGAGAGAGTGCATGACGGTGCGGGGATGGGAGAGAAGAAGTGGGAGATGGGGAGAGATAGACAGAGAAAGGGGTGCAGGGAGGCAGGGGGGGGTAGAGGGGATGTAGCGAGGGTGGTAAGGGGGGGTGGCGTTGATTGCGATGGAGAGTGCGTGGGGCCTTACCAAGAGCAGGCTGTGGCAGCACGAGGGAGGCGGCAGGCAAACAGCACAACTTTTGAGGCACCTCAAATCAAACGGGGGGGCTCGGCTGGCGCTGAGAGCGATGGAGAGCGTGTGGGTGGAGCGTGGGGTGTGGGGAGTGGGGTGTGGGGAGTGGGGTGTGGGGAGTGGGGTGTGGGGAGTGGGGTGTGGGGCCTCACCAAGAGCAGGCTGTGGCAGCACGAGGGAGGCGGCGGGCAGCAGCACGAGAGCCGCCGCCGCTGCTGCTGCCGTGAGGGACCGTGCGAGCGGGTGGGATGCAGCAGAGGCGGGGGCGGAGGCGGAGGAGGAGGAGGAAGAGGAGGACGGGTTGGTGGAAGCACGGACGTGGAGGGCGTAAGGTGTTCTGGAGAGACGTGGAGGGACGTGGATGGATGGGAAGGGAAGAGGGAGGGGAGGGAGAGAGAGAGAGAGGGGGAGAGGGAGAAGGAGAGGGAAAGGAGGGAGGTGGAGAGACGGAGAGGGAACGTGAGAGGGAGTGAGGGAGAGGGAGAGGGAGAGAGGGCGATACCATGCTACTGGTGGTATGCAGGTAGGAAGCAGGTCCGTTGTAGTGTAGGCTGCAATTGCTTTAGACGAGAGCAGTGTGGGAGTCGGTGAGTGAGTGAGTGAGTCAGCCAGCCAGCCAGCCAGCCAGCCAGCCAGCCAGCAGGCACATGGCGTCAGTCGGACGTGCCTCCCGCGACTCAGATTGTGAGGCAGTTCAAGGCGTGAAGTGCCTTCTACATCGTGGGATGGGATGGGATGGGGGTGAGCACATCGTTTTCGTCCTCACTCTCCTCTTCGGCGGCCATACGCCATAGACCGCATGGCGCAGGGCGCAGGGCGCAAGCCGCAAGGCGCAAGCCGCAGGGCGCAAGCCGCATCGCATCACATCCCAGTGGCATCCCGATCGCATCGCACGCACCTCTTGGTAGAATCACGGCGCACTTGAACCGAGGCGCCGGCGAGCGGCAGAGCCGCCGTAGACGGCGCTGCGCAAAGCGAGGCCATGGCGGAGAGCGCTGAGAATAGGCATCATGTGGGGGGGGTGAGAGGGCGAGAGGGCGAGAGGGAGAGAGGGAGAGGGAGGTGAAAGGCGAGGGCAAGGAAGAGGGAAAGGAGGAATGGGAGAGTAAATATCGTGTCTGATCAAGCTTCACAGCAGCGACGAAGGAAAGCTGGACGAAGGAAGTGACGAGAGATTATAACGAATGCAGACGACGATGCTTGCTGCCAGCCGTCCGATAGCGACTGATGGATCCAGGTGCAGAGAATACACGATCAGGCGAGAGAGAATATCAACACGGGGTCGGAACGGACCTGATTGAGTCATGGTCAGAATGCGTCTGGTGTGGCTTGCCTTGTCCGGTGCCAAGCTCTGGAGCGCTTTGCGGCTTTGCGGCACAGCGATACGGCGATACGCGAAATCGCGAGTCGGAAAAGAAATGGTGACAAGCCGAAGAAAAGCGCGAGCTGCTCAGCCTTTAGCACACCCCCCTTCCTTTGGTGCGTGACGCGCTGGAGCAGCAGCAGAGCAGCAGTGGAGAACGAAGAGGGCACTCGCCTGGTTCATGTTTTCGCTGCAAACGATGCTGACGACGGAGATGTTTGCGCTGCGAATTTCGTTGTAACCGTCATAGCTGTGGTTGATTCGGTGGCGGAGCTGGTTACTCGACCTGGTAAACGACTGTGGTTCTTCGCCAGCAGCTAGGGAGACTGAATTCTTGGACACCGTGAACACAGAGGGAACGACACGTGCGCTAGCTGCTGATTAGGATTTACAGCAAGCCCAATGGGCTTGGAGGGGATTTCAATCGGGAGCGCACACGTGGCTGCATCGAGAACCTCCGCGAGATACTTGTACAAAGCTCGATTCTCCGCATACGCGGTGCAGAGTAAGGCATTTGAAAGTTTTCTGGTCGACAACTGCAAATGATGAGAGTGGTAAAATATAAAAATCAGTTTAGATACGAAGCAGTGTAGAACCCGTTTATTTGAAATCCCTCACCGAGCGCCACGTCTCGCACGCTCCGTCCACACAACAAGAATTTGAATCCACGTCAGTCAGCCGTTTTCCAATTCCGTTTCGATTTGAATTTGCCACTTCGGAAAACCGAATGCCCCTCACGTTTTACACATGACGCACGCCGGGATACTGCTCAATAGATAAAGCACTCTGCTCCGCTTGCAACGCTTTCCACGTCGCTTCGCGTTGCCGATCTTAGGAACCAGCTCCTTAGTCGTCTGCTCGCGTTTCCGCGTCGCAGTCATGTCTCTGGTTTACTCCAACTCAGTCGTCTCATCGCCGCCGCGAGTCGACTCGATGCAGGCTCCTAACGCTACCCGCATCCCACAAAACCCGCGAAGCCCGCGAGACCCAGTCGCGTCTCGGGCAGCAGCATTCCGTGCCTCCGGCGCCGCGTCCCCCTTGAATTGGCGCTTTCGCAGAACCGGGCCGCGGTTAGTAGGTGTCCATCGCGCGGTACGGATCGGAGCGTCGATCGACCGAGCTGATTCTTTCTACACTGGCAGTTTTGAGCGAATCCTAGCCGCAGGCGCAGGCGCAGCCGCCGCCGCCGCCGCCGCGGGAGAGATAACAAGACCAGGAGCAGGAGCAGGCGAATACACTTCTGCTGCAACGCGGGATATTGCGCGAATAAGAGCAGGTGGAGGAGGAGGAAGAGGTGGTGAGGGGGCAGATTCAGCAGGAAAGGAAGCGCGAAGGGGGTCAGCAGGGCAAGCAGAG